ACAAATATCCAAACACAGCCCCATTATAAGCCTAAAAGCCCCTTTGATGGAAATGCCACATTAGACATCAAGTGTCTAGGCAATATTGTATGTTAGGCACAACAATGTAGAGTTGATGATGAGTGATTATCCTTAATGAAAAATAAGAGAGATGAGTAGAAAATGCCTTGTGAGGAACTCAGTGTATGACATTGAACTGATATGGAATATGTATAGTGACTGTTTGATATGCATTGTGACATAGTGTGCTGTTTGTTTAATTTAAAACTTAGTTTGGACTAGACTGCTGTTTGGTATTGATATTAAAAGACAATATAATTGATTGATGTTAATGGATGACATGTAATGTGATAAATGGAGGATTGTACTGTAAAGCCATTACATTGCTTGAATGATGATCTGAATGCTAAAAAAGACAATAGCTAACAATGTGCTTACTGAATTAATATTTTCTTGATTGCTTGAGGACAAGCAAAACTCTAAGTTTGAGGTATTTTGTTAGCTATAAATTATGATTATTTTAATGGCTTTGTTTTTACAACATTTGAGCTAAAGACTAGTTATAAGTGCAAAGTAATGGGTCAAATGAGTACCAATCAGCCCAATAAGGTAAAAGAGAGAGAAAGAGATAATTTGATGATTTACTATCCTCTTTTACTATTTTTATTGCAGTTAGAGAGCCATATGAGTTACTTTTTGGAAGTGAAGAAAAAAAGAGAGCCGGACCGTTGGATGAGGACAGGCATAGATGAACAGCAATGAAACTTTGGATCAATGGTTATTTTTAGTTTTAAATAGGAGTCTTAGATATAGAGATATAGACTAAGCACTCTCCTGTAAAGTTTTAGTTTTCAATTCCAGAATTTCTTTTCTGCTCTTTACTTTTTGTTAAGTTCGAGTCTTTGTTCTTCAAATTCTCACATCAAGAGCAAGCGTGAAACTTCTTTCTTGGAGGGATCCAAGACTCAGCTACATGCAAGCTTTGGTTCTTCATTTTCCTTTTCTAAGTTTTTCATTTGTTAATATGAATTTCTAAGTTTCTTTTTCTGGGATTCACGATGATTGGGTGATCTTTTATTTTTCTGAATACTGTGATGGTTTGCTTTAGTTTCATTTGATTAGCAAGATTTTGATTTTAAGTTCAAGAACACCATGGGAATGGATCTTGAATATATTTTGCATAATTGTGATTGGGAAATCAGGTTATGACCCTTGTTAATTGAACCCTTGAGGTTAGGGATAACCCAATGAGGTCTTTGATATAATTTTTGAAGATTTAGAAGACTTTGGGAAAAGATCCTTCTAAAGATTAAAACTGGAACTGGGAATTTTCAGCTAAAATAGCCATAGTAGTTCAAATTCTGATCTTAAAGTGCCGTAGCAGTTATAAAACGCAGGAATGCAAAATTTTTCCTTCATCCATGATTCAAGAATTCCAGTACCGTATAATTGTTAAATTTGTGATTAGATATTCCTCTGTTAATTTTGTTTAATACAAGTCTGATAAATACCTTGCTTCATTTAGTCTTTTCTTAGTTTTAAAAGATTGATTACTTAAATTCAAGAAATTAGAAATAGGAATTAAAAAAGAAAACTAAACAAACCGTTCCCTGAGAACGATAACTCTTTCTTTCGAAAAATTACTACCCAACACTTTGCAAGATTTCCCTCTTCCTGTTTCATAGTGGTAACCATCTTCAAGTTCAACCAAACTAATGCATGAACTTTAAGCTTGTTAAGAACCGACTTCTTGTCAAGTTACTCCTACAGTTCACAGCTAACTAGCAAAGTGCCTGTTTGAATTCTGTTTTCAAAAACAATTTTTTTATTTTCAGAAGCAAAAAATCTATTTAATAAGTCTTTTTTTGTAAAAATAATTCTAAAAATTATAACTCATTTTTAGTTTTTAGAATCAAATTTAGAGAATATATCTGAGTCTTTTTTATGTTTTGACTTTTAACTTTCAAAACAAAAGCAAAAAACACTAATTTCATTAATTATTTCACAAAACAATTTTAAGAATAAAAAAACTAGAACACAATTAAACAGACACTATGTTTGAAAGTGTTTTTTTTTTTTGTTTTCAAAAACTGTTTTGATTATGAATTTTAAAAACTGATTTTGAGAGTAAAAAACAAAAAAACTTATTTGAGTGTAGTTAAACTAAAGTTACGAAGAAGTTGTAGTTATTTATAAAAATGCAATTAATGAAGTTTTAGAATTACAAAAATGCCACCATAAAGTAATTGTTTGAGTCTTCATATTTATGAAATTGCCATTAATGAATCTTGATATTTACGAAAATGCTATAAAGAACTTTAGGATACATCACCCCAAAAGTTAGCTCAAAGGATGGGAGTGTCCAAGGCCTTATAAACTCCACATTAGTTGCTTATACAACCAATGTGAGACTATATATCTCAATACGCCCCCTCACGCAAAAGTCCTTTGGGCTTGAAGCGTGGATTATGTACAGGCCCAATTTTTTTTTTTTTTTTTACTTTTTGTGCTTTTTATTTTAATTCCACTTTAAAGTGGGGGGCGGTGAGGATCGAACTCGTGACCTTGTAATCACTCAAGCTCAAGCTCTGATACCATATAAAGAACCTTGGGATACACCACCCCAAAAGCTAGCTCAAAGGGTGGGAGTGTCCAAGGCCTTATAAACTCCACATTAATTGCTCATACAACTAATGTGGGACTATCTATCTCAACATTCCACCATAAAAAAAAAATCAGAAAACGGCTTTGGATAACATCCCTAGGTTGTTTTGGATTTTCAGTTTTTAAAACTAAAAAACAATCAATATTTTGAAAATCATTTTGCAAAACAATCATTTCTAAACAGATTTTTTTACTTTTTAGTTTTAAAAATTTAAATTTAAAAACTGTTTTTGAGAATAGGAATCCAACAGGGCCACAATCTCTTGATTTCTTCACTGTTGTCTTACAGCACTACACATCACAAGGTGACTTGCACTTAAAACATGATGAAATCATATTAACCTCAAAGCAGTATATTATCCTCTGTTGGCGGTCAACTAAACTTTTTAAAAGCTACTAGTAAAAATATTAAGCTCCCCAAAAAAATTAATTTTGTTTGGTATCTATAGATCTTAGTTAAAAAACAAAAATTGTGAAAAAAATTTACTAAATTATTTTTCAGCATTCTCTCACAACTTTCACCAAACAAGGTAGTGTGCCATGTCAAAGCAATGGCATTAAACTCTCCCGTGAAAGCCTTGGGAAAGCTTTGGCTTGCACAGACCAATTCAAATTGTTCTAACAATACTGAAATTAATACTTTATTAGTGGCTAGGTAAGTTTTAAGCTACTAGTACTAACATTAACATTATGGAAGCAAGACATGAATATATTTGATAATTAAAATAATAATAAAAAAAAAAATATTAGTTAATTACATGTTCCTGAATAAATTTAGACCATAAACACACTTGGTCTCAGTGGCGGAGCCACTTGGTTCCTAGCTGCTGCCAGGGCACCCGCTAATTTTCAAAAATATTATATATTTCTTTTAAAAATTATGATATAGTCTTATTATTGGTTAAGTTTTTAAAAATAATACAATATTGATATTAATTTAATTTTATTAGTTAGGTCTTTTGGTATGACTGGATCTTGTCCCTAGCTCCGCTATTGCTTGGGCTCTTTTGTAAGGATCATCATGAAGAAGTTTAGGACCATATTTCCAGGTTTCTGCAATATACTCAAGGATCACAATTGATTCAGCTATGGCCTTTCCATTATGAACAAGTACAGGAACCTTCTTGTAAACAAGGTTGTAATCAAGAAGTAAATCACTTTTGTTTGCTCCATGTACTCGTAAGGTATGCCCTTGAGATTAAGGGCCAATTCCACCCTCTTGGCATAAGGGCTAGCCCAAGTTCCGTGTAGGGTCACCTTACTTTGCTCTGCCAATCGCTCTAAATTTTTATTGTCTAAACGTTTCACCTAGTGGTGTATATTTGTTTAAGGAAAAAGCACATAAAAAATTTCTGCTCCCACACTTCTATAAAAGGGAATGGGTCTTGTTGGAAAGAGGAAAGAGAAAAGAGAAAAAATTAGCGAGACATAGTGTGTTAAAAAAAAACCTTATTTAAGAGATTCATATCATTCAAATGATGATAAAAAAAATAAAGATCTAAGTAAATAAGCTTTTAACTAAAATGGCATCAATCGTAATATTAGAGGTTAGAGTGTGGGATGATGAGAGAAGCTTATTCCTCAACTGCATAGCATGTTTCTTTCGGTGTACTTACGCATCTCAATGTGTACGAGAGGAAATAAAAAAGTCAAAGTTGCCATACACACTCCAACTTGGCCAACTTGACGATTGAATGGAATTTTAAAAAAATTAAAATATTACACTTTTAATAATTAATAATGAATTAGTAGCAGTTTGAAAACTAATTTCAGATCTATTGCAGTCATTCACGCTCAAAATAAGCGGGAGAATTTATGCCCAAGTGAGACGGGAATTGCAAGAAATTCACGCCCAAAGTAGGCGTGACAATTCACGCCCAATCCAGGCGTGAATTGCTTGGCCTATAAAAACCCCAAAATTTCCACTTTTCCATCTCACATCTTCTCTCTAACTTCTCTCTAAAGTTGCTCTGTCTTCTCTCTAGATTATTTGTGAAGCATTTTGCGCAGCGAAGCCCTGTCGAACAAGTAAGTCTTCATATCTGTTTATCAAATTGTTAATTATAATATGATACATGTTATTATAGTAATTTAGGGTGTTGCGCATATAACTGTTAATATTTTTGTTAACACATGTAAATTGCCATTTTTTTTGTAACAAATGTAATTTAATATTTTTTGTAACACAAGTAATTAAAAAAATTTTAACACATGTAAATTAATATTTTTTGTAACACATGTAATTAGTTAATTTTTGTAACACATGTAATTAATGTAATGACTTTTGAATATATTAATGAAACCAATTAATTTATTATTGTGTATAGTACACTATTATGGCTAACTCGTCATCGTCGGAGTCACCTCGGTCTACATCTAATACTGAGGCTCAGGCCGAGCCTTCGGATCCCAGGACCCATGTGCTTCCAGGACCATACCGGTGGGACGTACTTAGGAGGCGCAAACAGCGCACAAATGTTTCACAGGTTGTGTGGAACGAAGAGAAGTGTCGCCAGTGCAAGACTCGACGCGGTGTTATCAAGGGGGGCCATCTCCTGGTGCTATTCCTGATGTCGTGGCAGACTACCTGCAGCAGGCTGGCTTCCTACATGTCGCCTGCATGCGGCATATTCAGGTACGCATATGTACTAGTACCGGTCATGTGACTTTTAATTTAATAATAAATGTTATAAACTAAGTGTATGCTTAAGCAAGTTTATTTTGATAATAAATGTCTGCATTTATTTCAGATTGATCCCATGTTGATCAGTGCTCTGGCGGAGAGGTGGAGACCAGAGACACATACGTTCCATATGACGCAGGGCGAGATGACCATTACGTTACAGGATGTTGCGGCTATATTGGGATTGCCGACTGATGGGAAAGTGGTTACGGGCGCTACATCCACCAACTGGCGAGTCTTGTGCGGAGAGGTGCTTGGTCACGCCCCGCTCGTTTCAGAGCAGACGTATGGGGATGTCAAGCTCGCATATTTAGACAGACATTATGCGCGTTGGGCTGCAGTTGCTGCGAAGCCACAGTAGGTTATATATTTTACTAAGGCACACATTGCGCGTATCATGGCTTCTATGCGACAAATCTGGAGGTAGCGTCGTCGGATGTGCTACATTGCGTTGCTTGCAGGAGGTTTTGATGACATTGGACAATACAGTTGGGGATCTGTTGTTCTCGCACATTTGTTTAGACAATTATGCGAGCTTACTGACCTGCACAGATCAGACATGGGTGGATGTCATATACTGCTGCAGATATGGGCGTGGACCAGATTTCCTCCTATTGCTCCTCCTCTTCCTCAGCCTACTCACCCAGAGTGGCACTTCGGTCATCGGTATGTGTTATTTGTTTAAGAATTATACTGTAATTTATCTGTAACAAATTATTAATAATCTTGCATATTTAAATTTTGCCTAACAGGTTTAATGGTTTAGCCCGCTTTAAACCACAACATCAGCTTCTATATCGGGGGACTCTAGACACGTTGACTAGGGACGAGGTATGTTATATTTTTTTGGAGAAATTATGATTATTATTTTCTCTTGCTACCAAATTAAGACGTTATGGAAATTCATCATATTTTTTGTAGGTTGTTTGGCAGCCGTACGGAGACTATCATTTCTTGGACATACCTGCAGATGAGCGATATCTTTGGTTGGCTAGGACACCGATCATATGTTTTTATACGGTTGAGCAGTGCCAACCAGATAGATGCTTGAGACAGTTTAGTTTGGACCAGCCGATACCTTTGAGGCCTAGAAAGCTCAAAAGGGTTCATGATCACACGCTTCGAGGTAAATGGCCTGATAACTGGCAAGTTAAGCTCAGACCATTTATACATAGATGGCAAATAAGGGCTCAACACATAGGTCAGCTACCTCCCCCATTGGCAGGGCTGATGTCACCAAACCATGAGTATAGGGATTGGTATCGGCTACGAGGCAAGCGTTATGTATCCAGGAGGGCGGCGAAGATTGGACGCGGTGTATGTTTTCTACACTCTCTTACTTGCATATTTTTTTTCATTTATTGACATTGTCTTATTAAATTTCAGCCTTTACTTGCACTTATTTATTTTTATTGTAGATTGATAGGTCTGGAGATGCTATACTTCGCGACTACTCCTGAGCATTTTGAGTCCTTCGGTTTAGACTGGGTTCATGAGGAGATTGGGCGCTTAATTTTTGTATTCAGAGAGTCGTCCAGGGTGGAGGAGCCAGGATCACAGGCTCCCCCGGCCCAGACACAGGATGAGCCTCAGATATCTCTTGACATTCCTACACATAGACAGGAGGGACGAGGGCTAGGATGTCGTCGAGAGCCAGTGGCACCACTTCCGGAGCCTATACATGCCCCTAGGCCACGCATAGATATGTCTGGATACTTCAGGCCCCCCATGATGGGACAGACATATGATTCTCAACCCATTTATTACGGTCCTCTTCAGCATCAGGATGTGCCATTTATCCCTTCGCAGACAGGTACACATGGTCCACCCATGGACCCCAGAGTCAGCCAGTGTATCAGGCTAGTCCAGTCCACAGCGCACCTGGTTACGTGCCAACCACACAGGCTGAGACTAGCACTCAGGATTACCAGTCGTGGTCACATGGAGATGTTGATGACCTGATGAAGAATATGTATTGGGAACCAGATTTGACACCAGATTGGGAACCATTTCAGCCTACAGATGCCACTCCACCTGCTTACCATGCGTCTACGTCATCTCCTATACAGCCATTTACAGCATATGGTTCAGGACCAGAACCTGAGCCAGCATCACAGCATGAGCCAGAGTCAGCATCAAGCTGTCTATGACCCAGAGAAATATGATCATTCAAGCAATCGTGGTCTCCACCCCATTTAGTAACCTTCCATTTTTCACCGTATGTTGGTTTTATTACCCTAATCCTCCACGGGCAACCCTGTTCATACGCACAACATTTCATACTTAATTTGGTAGACGTGCTCTCAAGGGCGATCGCTTCTTGATGCTCTTTCATTAGGTTTCTCTTGATTACCATTTGCGCCTCCTTTTTTGATTCAAATTCTTGCTTAACATACAACTTGTTACCTATTATCCACAGACCATTAATTGAACCTGAGCCTGAGCCAAAACTTGAACCGTCGTGACTAGAATCTTGTTCCCTCGGATGATCCCAATTAATGTATGTGTAATGTGGAATGTCTTTCCAAAATGGACCAACATCGTCACCTGCAAGTACAAAAATAAACATTAAAACCCAAAAAGCTGCAAATATAAAAGTATTTTTCAGCAAGTTACTTACTTACCTTCCGAAATTGGCGGTAACTGAGTGGACGCGACGTTATCATGTTCCTGGACATGAGAATCCCCCACAACATTATATTCTAGGATTTGAGTTTCAGGAATACCACATTCATCATCGTTGTCTGAAGCGCTAGCATCCTCAGCAAGAAGTTGATCTTCCATTGCAATATTTTCATCATCGTCATCCTCACCATCATCTTCCATAACCCAGGTAGGGTCATTTTCTCCTTCCTCAGACAGATTACCCACTGGAGCAGCCGATGATGATGCATTATGTGCAAAATTTAAATCAACTGACCTCACAGGTATAGCAACATCCTCTGTTTCGGCAATATCCACGTATAACTCTAAAAAATCTTTCCTTGACTAGTTGAAAAACTCTCTGATTACCATTTCTACGTCTTCATCGTGAACAACTTGCATACTAATGTATTGTGATTCACACCATATTCTTGCAGTGACCGTATTGATAGATTGTTTACCTTCAAGCGCTAACTTTTGACGAATTTTTTGATGTACTTCGCTAATTGTTGAGTTCCACATGATACGTGTTGGCCTTTTCTCGCCTTCAAAAATGACACCACGTCGACCTTCCATTTTCCTACCATTATAATATAAAACAACACGAACAAAATCAGAATGTGAACTCATTCTTAACTATATTAATAAAGAAAAACACAAAACAGAGTATGCATAAGCAAGTGAGACTGTATCGAAGACTAAGAAGTTAAGATGAAGAAGAGTTGTGATGAATGTGGAGATGAGAGGTGTTTATATAGGAAAAATAGGTGTCATTCACGCCGAAATTGGGCTGGAAAGGGGGCTGAGTCACGCCTAGAATGGGTTGGAATATCCAGTGATTCATGCCTGCATGGGGCGTGACTAATCATGCCTATTTTGGGCGTGAATAACGAGGAATTCACGCCTAACATGAGCATGAATTGTCCTGCCCATTTTGGGCATGAATGACTGCAATAGATCCGAAAATAGTTTTCAAACTGCAACCTATTCGTAATTAATTATTAAAAATGTAATATTTTAATTTTTTTGCCTGAAAATAAAATCATTATCCAATATTTTGTTCATCGAATCGGGTCGGCAAACTGGAGCATAAACCGTTGGTTTCAATAATGGAATTGGTTTGATCCGAGAAAATACACTTTTGACCCTATTTTTTTTAACACTTCCTTTATATTTGAGTGAAATCTTATATGGGTCTCACTAGATAACTTAGTGCCTATTTGGTATTTCTTATTTTTAGTTTTTCTTCTTCTAAAGTTTAGTTAAATATATTTTTATAAAAAAATTTATAATGAAGAAAAAAATTAAAAAAAAAAAGATTTTTTTTAAAATATATGGCAAAATTTTTTATTTTCATATTTATTTTATAATTTTACCTTCATTTTAAACTTGTATTTATAATTTTATCATTTATCATAATAATTTATTCTAAAAATAAATTATTTTATTTTTCTCCCTTGAAAATCATCCTAACTCACAACTTTATACAATAATCAAATAACTTTTAATTTTATTTTTTTAACTTTTTTTTTTTAACTTTAACTTAAAAATAACTTTTAGCTTTAAAAAAAAAAACGTCAAACAAGCTTTTAGTAGTAGACAAAATCTTTGACGAGATTTTGTCTTGTTGAAAACATAATGTTACAAAGTGTGTCGCTAACATTCAGTTCAAGAACTAAGCGACTAAAAAACCCATCAATCGTGGCCTTATTGCATGTTCATCTCTTCAAGACATATTTTCTACATTGTTTGGTAGTTGGCCCGGAATCCGGATAAACAGTTTTGTGAAGCAATCAAGCGAACTACGGCAGATGATTCAGAACTTGCACGAGATCAATAATAAGAAGACACATTTCAACATTTCCAAAAGAAATATTATTATTGAATAACTGCAATATCCGACCATCACGTTTATTCAAATCTATAGAAATATATAACAGTGTTCTGAACTAAGGAAGAAAAGGATAGCTTCCAAACTTCTCAGTTTGATCTCCACTTCAAGAATTAAATGTCCTCCTCCTAAGTTTGAAACCAAAAAACAAAAGTCATCCTAAAAAAAACATTGGGAAAACCCATCAAAAACAACCTCAATCTAAATAGTTTTAATGAAACAGCAAACACTGCACATAAACTCATTATCACTTCCTGTAACCCAAAATACTGAAAATAGAAATGCTAAACAAGAGAAAAAAGACCAGCCTTCAACTGTCAATAAGTACATCATCAAGCAAATTACATGAATACCAAAAACAGGATTCTCAACATAAAAAAAGAATCACAAGTATATTCTACTTCACCAACCATGTTGTCCCCTTTTCACTTAACTTAAAATATATATATATAATGCTAAAATCGGTCCGCAATAAGTCTGCCAAGGTGCAGGAAAAAAACAAAGGGCATATTTATGTAAGAAGAGGAGCAAAATAGCAACAAGCTAAGATTACCTAAAACAGGTTAAAAATGTAATGTATATTTACATACCTTAGCAAAGCTCTCAGGATTTATAAAAGAAGAAATAACAGGTAAAAGGAATGAGATTTTGAAAGAAATAAACCTGGAAGAAAAAGAATTGCAGACAGCTAGGGATGATAAGTAGCCGACACTTCACTCCCAAGCACTTCATGGGAGTGTTCAAGTTCTCAAACCCTAACTACACACTTCACATATATTGGAAAATAAGGATGAATCAATAATGACAATGTTGTGCTAATGAGAACATCCATACTTTTCATCTATTTTGAGAATAGAGAATTGAAAACAAGAACGAAACCATTTCTGAGATCTTTCCTAATATCTATTCCAAAAGGTAAAAATAAGATTTTTTTAGAACAATTTTCACAAAACACTCTTTATCATACAAGTTTTTTTGTTTACTTGTTCTTAAAACGAAAAAATTGTTCTGAAACAGCAATCAAACAGGCCCTAATACTCAATGATATGCATGTTTATGTAAAAAAGAAAAAGAACAAGCTGGTCATCTGTTCAAGACAATTTACGGAGCCTTCGTTAAAATTAATTACACAAACATATTACAAGTTGATGAGCCTTTGTGTCTTGTTATCAATGTTACGTTGGGGGCCAAAGAAGAGAGCCCAAGAGGAAGTTGAGAATAATAAGCTGATGGTGAAAGAGAATGAAGGAGGAAAATTAGTTATTGGGGAAGCCACGTGACAAGCTGTTGAGATATATAGTCCCACATTAGTTGTATGTGCAACTAATGTGGCCTTTATAAGGCTTTGGGCACTCCCACCCTTTGAGCTAGCTTTTGGGGTGGTGTATCCCAAGGTTCTTTACATGGTATCAGAGCCTCGCCACCCCCCACTTTCTCTTGTGGCGTTTCTTAGCACAGGTAGGCTGGGCCTGTTGCATTGTCCACTCTTCAAGCCCAATGGGCTCTTGTGTGAGGGGGCGTGTTGAGATATATAGTCCCACATTAGTTGTATGTGCAACTAATGTGGCCTTTATAAGGCTTTGGGCACTCCCACCCTTTGAGCTAGCTTTTGGGGTGGTGTATCCCAAGGTTCTTTACACAAGCTATGAATGGTGAGGGAATACTGGGGGAAATTTGGAAAGAAGATTCAGGAAGATTGTGATGATAGAAGGTGTTTATATAGCGGGAAAGGGAAAGGGGGAAGGCACGCATGAATTGAGCTAACTTGGAATGGGATTTGGGGAACTCTAAAGTCTGGGTTGTTGGTCTTGGAGGGAGCTGGAAGTGTTTTTCCTTGTTTCTTTTCTGCAGAATGATGGAACTCAGAAAAATACAGCACTGATCTCATTGACAATGGAGGCACTAACACAATATTAAATGCAGAAAATAAACCCCAAGAAAGCCTCAACTCCCCCTCAAACCAAATACCTAGACTTAAGAGTTCCCCAGAGGTCTCTCATTTCCCCACTAACCAATTCTGAATACATGAATTATAGAAACATCACCCCTAAGTTCTATATATACTAATTCTAAAATACTAATGGGCTTGGATTATTTATTATAGGCCCATCAATACTCCCCCTTCAAAATTCACCTTGTCCTCAAGGTGAAGAGAAAGGGCAGATAATGTGAGAGGATTTTCCACCCGGATCCCATTGTCAGCAGAAAAGGATTTGGCTTTGTGTCACCAACTCGCTTATGGTCCTGAGCAGATTCTAGTGGACTTGCATTTTCTGGTCTAGGGGTGTTTCTGGTCCAGATCTGAAAAAAAAAAAATGGAAAACAGTGTGAACAGAATGGAGAGAAGCTTGGATCGATTGGAAGCAAGCATGGAGCGAGTGGAAGAAGGAATGGATCGGGTTGAAGATGTTGTTCATCAACTTCAGAAAGCAATGTAGACGTTAATAGAGCGCATCGATTCTTGTTTTGCAAAAGAAAAAAAAGCGAGAATCAAAGAAACCAAATTCGAAAAAAAAAAGGGAACGCAGATAAGAAAATCGGAGAAGACGACGATGTCAAAGCAGAAAACGCAAAAGAACGATTGGAAGGGAACGACGCAAAAGCGGTGCAGATTTGGGAAAAACAAATCTCTATTTTCGCTATGAAAAACAAAGATCAAGAAGAAGAAGAAGAAGAGGTAGAGGTGCAGGGGGAAGAACAAAATCAAGACAAAGAAGTTGGCGGAAGGGCGACCATTATGGCAGAATTACGTCTTCATGCCATTACAGACTTGGGAAGGATGATGTCTCTGGCTCAAAGAGTGGAAGACAAGGAGAAAGTGAAGGAAAGGGTAGGGACAATGACGGGGCAGATGGGAAATGGAAGTGGAAGTGGAATGATGAGTGGGCTCAGTACAAGACCAGCCCTGCATAACAGGCCCAATTCGAATAATGGGCTGGTTGGAACAACAAATCGATTTTCAGCCCACAATGGGAGGAATACTCGAAGTGTGGGCCAATCAAATGTATTTGGCCTCACTAATAGCCAAGGAAGTAATAGCCCAGCAGGGGGACAAGCAGAGATCAGTACGACTATCCACAGTGTGGCAAATGGGGACAGAGGCAACCCTAGCTCCAATAATGGCAGTAGAGGAGCGAAGTTAAGCCGGCTGTCTCCGGAGGAGCTTAATGACAGAAGATAGCGAAACCTTTGTTTCAGATGCGATGCGCCTTACTCAACGGAGTATGTGTCTCGCAACCCAACTCTCAATTTTATGTTTCTTGGTGTGGGCGAGTCGATTCCAGAAAATGTCGAAATAGGCGCTATAAATGAGCGAGATGGCGTCGGACTTGGGGAAATGCTACAGCTGAGCGTCCAGAGCATTGTTGACTTGACGTCAAGCAGATCCCTCAAATTATGGGGTGATATCAAGGGTCGAGAGGTGATGATTCTGTTCGACACAGATGCGTCACATAGTTTCTTGGCTGAACGAGTAGCGCGCGAGTTGCAGTTTGAGATAGAAGACACAAGGGGTTTCTCGATTGAAGTAGGAGATGAACTGGCTGTTGGAAAAGGAGTTACTATTGCCATGACACTAGCAGAAGCATATGAAGTTGTTGATTCAATGCTGGTGAAGGATGATTTCGGTTCAACAGGTTGTCGTGTCATTGTTGAGGAATTTCTAGAGGGAGCAGAAGTGTCATTTTTTGCAATGGTTGATAGAGAAAATGCAAGTCCACTAGAATCTGCTCAAGACCATAAGCGAGTTGGTGACACAGCCAAATCCTTTTCTGCTGACAATGGGATTAAGAGGTTTCAAACAATGGGATCCGGGTGGAAAATCCTCTCACATTATCTGCCCTTTCTCTTCACCTTGAAGACAAGGTGAATTTTGAAGGGGGAGTATTGATGGGCCTATAATAAATAATCCAAGCCCATTAGTATTTTAGAATTAGTATATATAGAACTTAGGGGTGATGTTTCTATAATTCATGTATTCAGAATTGGTTAGTGGGGAAATGAGAGACCTCTAGGGAACTCTTAAGCCTAGGTATTTGGTTTGAGGGGGAGTTGAGGCTTTCTTGGGGTTTATTTTCTGCATTTAATATTGTGTTAGTGTATGTAAAAAGAGGCTATGCCTCCATTGTCAATGAGATCAATGCTATATTTTTCTGGGTTCCATCACAGAATTTTCTCCGTATTATGTATTAGTTTTTTTTTGCGTTAGGATTACCATTATATGTTTCTGTATTGTTGTTGAATGAGATTGTCATCGTATTTTATTTTAATATAATTTTCCAGTCCCCCACAAGTTAACTTTAGATATACAAGGGCGATGAATGTATCCAGTAAAGGAGAGAGAAGAGCAATTTTTTATTTATTATTTTTTGTGAGACAATGGGGCGCCTGAAATCCAATTTGTTTATTTGGTTTCTATGCAATTTCAAGCATGCAGATCACTTGCAAAAGCAGTCAATCATTGAGATGTCAATTCTTAAGTCTAACCAAAAGAACTCCAGAAACCCAAGTGACAAGTTATAATGTTGATTGAACAAACAATGACAAGATCATGGCAAATCTTCAATTAAACTAATATGTTTTATGTAGCGATCAATTGCATTCAATTGTCTGATATCCCATGACTATAGTAATAACTAAAAGAACAGAATATCTACTCCCAATTTTACTTAGCAAGAGAAAATATCGAATACGAGACACATCAACAAGACATTTGTCATAAATAATTATCATCATAAACTGAACTACCAAGCAAAAAATCATATATACAAACAAAGAAGACTAAGTGGAGATGGAAAAGACCACATCATGGTTCTTACCCTCAACAAAAGACTTAATATTATTGTAGTTGACATCTCATGCTTGGACAGAGACTTTTCAACCAGAGTCCTCACCTTGACTTTCAATCTCCCTCTTACGCTTTCTCTCAAGTAATATAAACTTATCTGATTTCCAGATACACTCTAATAAAATAAAATCATCACTAACTGGGTATAACTGTCTGAAAACCTGCTCCAGTAGTATATATCAAAAGAGATGGGGAGAGAATAGATTAGCATATAGATATACTATTTTCGATTCATATCCATGTCTATGAATAATTATATAAAAACGAAGAATTTAAGAGGTACAAACTAACCTCAATTCCCATATGAGTTATTTTTATTGATTGCTTCTTTTCAGAGAGGGAAGAAACCATGTTGAACAGTGAAACAACATCAAGTAATATCTGTACAATGGGGAGAAAAAGGTTGAATCAGTAGAGCAATATCTGAAAGGTATCTGATTAAGTAGATTGAATGATAAGACATAAACTTGGGAAACTTACTTGTTGGACCAAAAGTCTAAGACGCGCAAGCAAAGCCATAATTGTTAGAGATAATCCCATGAAAAAAGTCCGAGCAAACAATACAGATACCTCACTATTAAGTAGTCAAGGATAGAAATTTTACGTAGCAGTCTTAACAGATTACTCCGAAAATGTTCAAGAAGCATTCACTATATGCTACTGGCGCTGGCTATGATAACAATTTCTAAGAAAGGGATTGTATGTTCTATTTTTCCAAAGTATAAAGCAAAAATATGAATCAAGGATAAAATAACAGGCCAAAATATCACATCAGATCATTGTAACCAAGCACAACAGAAACCTAAAATATCAATGAAATAAGTTCCTGTTTCAACAAAGATCTATATCAATCAACAGACATGCAAAAAGCAAAATATCAACATAAGTATACAAAATGATAGAGCACATAAAAATTCCAGCACAGATAGAGAAATTATATAGACATCGTGTAAAATTAAGCAAGTAAACTAATGTTTTACAAACAGCACTGTAGTTACGAGACAAAAAAATTGGAAAAAAGAATACTAAAATCATATCATGGTGCATCATGTTTCATAATAGCAACTGGTACCTATTGTATGAAGTAAAAAAAAAAGATTTTATATGCCTTATGCCATGAGCAAGGTATGGCCAATTAACTAAACCATGAGCATATAGGATAAATAAGCCACCTATTAAAATATAAACCACGTAATACTGACAGTGATACTGACAGTAGAAGGATACGTTGCAGCCTTCAGTATTGGTTCAACCATCTGCATCAGAAAAAAGAGCACCCAGAAGAAATAAGCAATCCAATGTTAAATATATTATGATGCACAGGAAAAAAATTCCTATTAAAATCAATTGATTTGTGTGAAATCCTCATAGTATTATTGTATGCATGGGAAGAGGAAGCAACTAATAAGCTACCACCGTAGTAACATAATGATGTTAATATAGAAAGGAAAGAAACCAGTTAGAAAAACACTGAATAATAATTAGCTGCAATTTCACCTCTGCTAGTAGGCGTGCAGCTCCTAAAAGATGCTCCATAAAATTATGCTTTTCATTATTGCATTTTCTCCTTTTTAAGCTGCCACAAAACAGTAAGGAGAACAACATTATCATCAAGAAGATAGGACCTCTAATATCATCACGTACCGATGGAGAAATTTCAGCAAAAAATTATCTCAAAAACCAATAACAAATTCATATACAAGAAAGGAGTATGACTGCAAGATGTTCAGTTCTGCAAGAGAGAGTAAGCCTTCTCTCATAGAATTGTAATTTTGTTTGTCTAATAATATTGCCACATCCATATTCACATACTTCATTTTTTAACTCGTACAGAACATGTAGGTCTGAAAAAGGTCTATCATATCGTACCACTTCACATGAAAATTATAAATTGTCACTTCCCACTTTCATGAGATCTGGTAAAATGAGACTTTGAAATTTTTCCATTTTCTTTCTCTAAGCCTTTCACATACTATTAAAACACACAAGGAAAAGGAAAACAAAATCGGAGATATTTTAAACAAAAAATCCATGCCAATGTGCTAGTCACCTGAGGCATACTAGTTCCCCCCCCCCCCCCCCCCCCAAACCCACCTTTTATAGGGTCATTAAGACATACAGTTACTGATTTTGAAACAGTGGTAAAAGAGGAACTGCTTGAAATATCAGCAGGACAAACATTCAACATATTTTAAACACTCAATCATATTATCTTGTCAGTTTGTGCATTGAATTAGGAAAACTTTTCAGAACACTAAGAAATAAGCTAAACTCACCTCTCTAAAAGATGAACATTCTGTTTTGGTCTATCACCTTTGATAACATGGAAACATGATGTTACAAGCTCCTCCAAGTTTGCCAACTGCAGAAGCCTTAAATCCCTCCTCACCTACCAATTATCATACCGCACAAAACCCAGAAAGACATATAAATACACATTGCATACTAGTAAGCTCAAATGTAGGTACGCACATTCCATTCAATTTTCCATGCAAATGCAATTGCTCCTAAAATTTGTTCATTAAGAGAAGGAAAAAAAAACAAAGAGAAAAGATTTTGACAAAAATTTCTAACACTAAGCAATTTCATATTGTTGAACACTGACTTTAAAGAAACAGTGTGTAATGTGTGGTAGTGTACCTTTAAAAGATGCTGGAAGTAGGAACAATGCCGGTGCTGATTCTTGTTCTTGTATACGATTCTATGTAGGATGCCACACTCAGATTGGAGCTGGGTAAACATAGATGTCATCCTTGGCTCAATTGTTTCCAATTCGGTACCCATTGAGTCTCTGAATTTTAATACAACAGCTGAAAAATTATTATCTAAAATAACATAAATTAAGATCGAGTGTTGCGGCAATGTTATAAAACTCGGCCTGATCATTGACTCGGTCAAGGTTTTGCGTCACTGGGTCAATGGTTCCAGATAAATATATACAAGTCCATACCATATATAAAATTTAAAAATAATATATATATATATATATATATATATATATATATATATATACAAGATTAGTGTTTCTCATATTGCAGAAGATAATTTTATCTCCTACGCATACATAAAAATGTGTGAGGCCATGTGGGGCCATGTGAAGAGAAGAGAAAAAAAAAACGTGGGTCCCATACACTTTTATGTGTGTGCAGGAGATAAAATTATCTCCTACAACATGAGAAACATTAAATTTTATCCCCTATATATAACACCTAGCACAATTTAACAAGTCCAATTTGACAACATTTACAGTATAGTTATGTAGTGAAACATTAAATTTTATCCTGTAAATTAAACTAAAAAAGCTCTCCTTATTTACAGCTTAAAAAAAAGCATATGATTGCATTCTGAAAAATACAATAAAGCAAGTAAAAGGGGTATGCAAAACAAAAAGCAGGTAAAAGAAAAAATACCAAATTTTGAGCTGGTGGGTCTTCTTTTAGTGTTGGGAGGTCACTTTTACATAGAACAAACCAACATTCACAACAAAATAAAAACAAAATAAAAATAAAAAACACAAAGCACCAGCATTGTCTATGTATCAGACAAAACAGAACTGGTAACAAACTTTACTCAATGTATCCAGAAAGGACTTGTGGATACAAACTTTAGTCACACTCTCTCTCACACGCACACAAACACACTCACAATGACAGAAAATAGGTATCATATCATTCTTAAATGTTGTCTCTAGGTGTATATGGTTAGCAGCAGCAACCTCTTGAAGACTGCATACGTGCAAGAGCTAAGGAGTAAACAGCACTAACCAGAATGAACATAAGCAATCACATTTTCTTTTTCACCTGAAGCAGTCACAATAACAGGAACAATAAAAAATCCACAAGTTTCATACATTATGTACTAGACAAATGAATTCAATAGTATCCCAGATCACATAAAACACGAACGTGAACAAATAAAAACCTCAATACTGAACTCTAGTGAAAACAATTTATATAAAAATCTACCACTTGTAAATGCCAAATTAACAGAGCAGTGGAGTATATGTAAAAGTTACATAACTAAGTCGAGTATCACTGCAAGCAAATATAGGTGGCCATTTTCAAAACTTCAACTTGGAAGTGAATCCCATAAGCTTAATTGAATATCAGAGGGACTGTGTACGAGTTAGACAAATATTTTGGCAAATCTAATGAATACCAAAATTGCATTGGAGAACACTGACCAATGTCATAAATAACAAAGCAAATAATTGAAAGTGTTTAAGGCAGTTTCTAAGCTGAGCCAAACAATTGAAAGAAGCATTAATTAGAAACTACATACAAAGCCTATTAAACCCAACAAAACTTCCAAAATTCTCAAACCCGAATTTCAGAAGAACAACGAACAAAATAAAAGTGCGACAGATTAAAACCAGCAGAAGACAAAAAAAAAAAGTAACAAGTCAAAGCATGAGCACACTAATAACACGACCTTCCATTATGAAAGCCAAATGCTTTACGAGATATAAGGCAATTCAACCCCTCAGAAAATCAGAAGAAGACAAAAAACCAAAAAAAAAAGGGAAAATAAAAACAGAACACAAAAATTAAAATTAATCGAACAGAACAAAAGCTATAATTACACAAAAAATTTATTGAGAAGGGTAAGTGAAAGAACTGATATTTATGGAAGAGTGTAAAAGAAAAAGTATACCTTTACTAATCAAATGTATGTTTGAAAGTTGAAACCCTCGTAGCTAATAGAAAATTATGTTCGAGAACCTGGTACCAACAACGTTAGTCAGCTCTACGGGTGTTAACGGGCGAGGCTCGGTTCTTAAAAGGTTAAATTTGTATTTAAATTTAAATGTTATCAGTATTGTATGAACAAGTCAAGGATGTTACGTAATACAAAAAAAAAAGTCAAGGATTTACTTGTTACCAATATAATTACAGTTCACTTTTCTGCACTTACTGCTGCAGCAGATAAGTTATTTGCAGTAAATCCAATACAATATTATTTTTGAGCAGAAATCACGATATTTTTGTAATTTTAATTTTTTTCAGAGTTATTATAGTTTTTATAATTATAATTTTTTAATATTTCAATCTCAAAACGACGTTGTTTTGAAAGTAAAGACAGATAACTTATCTGCATTAACTGCATAAATATTTTTATGATATAATTATTGGTCTGTGACCTGGTTTATTTATAAAAAAAAAAATCTGATTTAGCTTGTTAACCTATTTAAAAAATATAAAATAACAAAAATTTATCTAAACAAAATATACAATCAACAGGACTAGTAATTCTATAAATATTTACAAATTCAATGTATATCCAAATAACATAATATAGAACAAAATCATTCAAAAATTCTATTTAACCAATAAAATAGGGTAAAATGGATTGAAGAGAGAGAACTATCACAAGTAGTATAAGAGTTTAAAATTAAAATGGAAATTAATATACTAGGCCAACATAAGAGGTTCTAAGGTCAAGTTTTTGAATTGGAGCCAGAGGTCTTTTTATTAAACCAGTTTTTATACAAATCTAAACATTGTTCCAACAACCAATTTTAAGCAATGAAAGCTCAAACCTTCACAAGTCAAGTAAAAAACCCCTAAGGCTTTGTTTAGGAGTTTGGATGGGAAGGAAATGAAGGGGATCCAAGGGGAGGAGGAGAAGCAATGGAAGGAATTGTAGGGTATTCTCTTCTCTTATTTGGGAGTTAAAAAAATGGTAAGGGAAAAAAATAGAGGGTTAATGAGATATTTTTATCATTTTACCCCATTTCTAAAATTAATATAATTACTATATTTTACAAATTAAATTAAATTTAAAATTTTTAATAAAATTATTTATGTACTTTTCACAATACTCAAAAAGATTATATTTTCGATGGAATTTCTACGTTGCAAACGATAAAAATTTCGTCACAAAATTATTTTTTTCGTCGGAATATTTTTCGTCGAAAAGCGACGGAATTTTTTCTCAAATGAAAATTTTTACAAAAATAAATTTTCTATTGAAATTTAGTTTTCGCCAAAAGTTTTGACGAAAATGATTTCCTCCATCAAATGTTTTAAGTGAAAAAAAAATTTCGTCAAAAATTTTGACAGAATGTTTTCCGTTCAAAATTTTGATGGAAATGTGTTCGACAAAAATTTCGACGGAAATTGTTTTGTCAAAAATTGAGGAAAATGTTTCATTCGAAACTTTCGACAAAATTTAGATTCTGTAAAGAATTTTGACAGAATATTTTTTTCGTCAAAATTTGTTATCAAATTATTTTTCATCAAAAAATTTTACGGAAATATTTTCTGACGAAAATTTTTGACAGAAATATGTCCCATTTGAAAATTTTCATAGAAATATTTTTTTATTAAAAAACTTGACTGAAATATTTTCCGTCAAAAATTTTCGATGGAAATGTGTTACGTTAAAAATTTTGACGGAAATTTTTTTTTTTTTTCAAAAAGTTTAACGAAAATGTTTTCTTCTAAAACTTTCGACGGAATTTAAATTCGGTACAGAATTTTGATGAAATTTTTTCCGCCAAAAATTTTGATGAATATGTTTTTTTGTGAAATGTTTCAACGAAATTTAGATTCCGTAAAGAATTTTGACAAAAAAAAAATATCATCAAAATTTTTTACATAAATGTTTTTAATCACAAATTTTGGTGGAAATATTTTTCATCCAAAATTTTGATGGAAATGTTTTCCGTAAAAAATTGTGACGTAATTGTTTTACGTCGAAACTTTTCGATGGAAATGTGTTTCGTCAAAATTTTGGACTGAAATATTTTTGTTGAAATATTTGACGAAATTTAGATTCTATCAATAATTTTGACTGAATTTTTTTTTCGTAAAAAAATTATGTCAATGATTATGGCAAAATCTGGTTCCGTCTTTAATTTCGTCTTTAATTTTGACGTATATGATTTTCATCAAAAAATTTATCACTATTTTTGACGAAATACTTTTTCGTCGACAAATTCTTTCTGTATTTGAGACTGTTCTAATAATGTCACATTTAAAAATGATTTACATTCATATAATTTTCACATTTTAATGCTAAGGGCATATAAGTAATTTTTAATATTTCCCCCCTCAAATCCTCCAAATTGGGGGAACTTTAATATTAAGAAGAAGGAGAGTTTTGGAGGGTTTAGTAAAAATCCTCAATTTCTTCCTCTCATTTTTTTAAACTCAAACAAGGGAAGAGCTTACTAAAATCCTCACTTTCCTTTCCTTCCGCTCCTAAAATCAACTCCCAAACAAAGCCTAAAAGACAACTGGTTGATTTATCATCCCTGGTCACCTCGTATAATGTATGTTTCAAATTCGAATGAGTCTGACGCCTAAAGCCATGTGTATCAAAATTTACTGTTTACTGAACATTTTAGGATTTTTACAAGAGATGAGATATTCGTTTGACCAGAGTTCAAAGTTTTTCAACTACATCACAAAAGCGTGTGACCCCACATGGTAAATAAATATAAATAAAAACATAATAAATTACTCAATAAGTAAATAAATAGGCAGAAGCTGTAATAGGAAAATAGGGATGTGCATGGGTCGAACCGAACCGGATTTTTTGAAAAACCGAATCGAATTGGTTTAAATGGTTCAGTTCGGAAGTGGTTCAGTTCGGTTCAAAACTAGTTCGGTTCGGAAGTGGATCAGTTCGGTTGGAAACGGTTTGGTTCGGTTCGAAACTGGTTCGGGTCGACCCTCTATTGAAAAGAAAAAAAAATAAAAATTCAAAAAATAAAGTTATAAAAATCAATTTGGTTTGGTTTGGTTCGGTTCGGTTCAAAATGGTTCGGTTCTTAAACTGGTTCTAAAATTGATTCGGTTCATGAACTGGTTCTTTAAAAACTGGTTCTTTAAAAACTGGTTCGGTTCATGAACTGATTTTTAAAAATCGGTTATTTTAAGGGGCGGTTCGGTTCGGTTCATGGTTCGATTCAGTTTTTTGGTTATTTTGCACACCCCTACAGAAAAATGCACACATATAAATTAAATTAAATAAATAAATAATTACGTACATAAATAGATAAATGTTGTGAAATAATAGGTAACTATAAAATAATCAAAATTAAAGTAAGTAACTAGAAAAAGGGTAATGATGTGCCTCTGGCAAGTGTGGTTTTTCAAGTTGAAATTGATAAGAATTAAGTCATAAAAGAGTAATTTAAATACATATTTGCTAATTATATTGATTCTTTCTATGTCAATGATAATTTTCACCTATTGATTGTGTTTATACAGGTAAAAGAAGTGAAAATTACAAAATTATAAAAAGCCTGTTGACGCGACTCCACACGGGTGTAGCACAGTACAAATTCCAGCAACATGGCGCGGAATGGCGGCACACTGGCGCACACCCGCGCCAATTTACGAACTTTGCAGCGGTGCTTTGCAAGTGGCACCAACTGGCTCCGGGTTTGCGGAATATGCAGTGTTGGCCAAAGCATGGCGCAAGGTGGCGCCAAAATGGCGCAAAGTGGCACCAAATCATGGCGCAAGGTGGCTTCAAAATGGCGCCAAGTGGCGCCACTATAAGAGAATTCTTGTCCGACTTTTACAAATTGACAGAAGCGTGGCGCGAGTTAGCGCCAAACCGGCGCCAACTGGCGCCGGTTTGCGGGAAAGATACACCGTCTTGTCCGAGGGCATTTTTGGAAGAAGGAAAAGAGGTGTATAAATAGGATGCCTTTTACAGAATTAGGGATTAAATCCTATTCCGAAGACCAGAAACGATGGTTGTGCTCAGAGAGAGTTCTGAAGGATCTTTTTGTTCTACCATTTTTCCTCTTTTCATTGATCAAGTATGTTGAATATTGAATTTTTAGTCATGATAATGATTGGCTAAGTTATTTTTTATTGTAGTTAGGGTCACAAACCCTATGTGAACCCTTATTACGACGGGTTGTTTTATGATTATTCGTTTATATAATTGTCTTTATCTCTATCCTGTACGTATTTTATACTTTCTTTATTAGAACTAATCAATCTAATAGTTGAGGATAATCTAAGGGTTAGAACCCTAGATTGGAGTATCGGGTTTTGATCTTGAAAGGGGGTAGGATAATAATTGGTATGCATGCTAGGAATAAATGTATATTTAATTGCAGATGCTAAAATTATTGAGTTCATTGCTTAATGCCATGAGAAACATTGCAAGGAATTGGGGTTTCCATTGGGATTAAAGGGTTAACCTTGCAAGGATTTGAGGGTTAACTATTAATACTTTTAGATAATAATTTATCTGAGTAATTATATAAATGAGTATTGTAAATCAATCCAAAGTAAGAAGTGAGAATCATATAGTGTGTGTACCTTAGCTGCAATGCTTTTTATTATTCTCTCAAAAATCCAAACTATACCATTGCTAATTGAATTGAAAATTATATTTTAAATTTCATTCTTTAGTTTACTATCAATTCACAATTTTCCAAAAATAACCGAGGGTTCCAACTTAAGGGGACTGGTTATTGTAGTACTTGGTTTACAATCCCTGTGGAGACGATACTCTACTTACTCATTATATTACTTGTGCGATCGGTATACTTGCTGGAGAGCATCAAGTTTTTGGCGCTGTTGCCA